TCTCCACCTGGGGAACGTACTCGTCTCAAAACATAGCAGTGAACCTCTCCTAGGTCACTGCAACAAGCTCAGTAGGCGTGTAGTGTACCGTCACAAACTTCCACCAGTCCTTCCCTCCCAAGAGAAGCTGGTTCAGCGCAAACCGGACTCTCAAATGATTAGGAGATGAGCAAGTAAAGAAACACCCCTCTATGTCTGATATCCACCTCATTGCTGCAATCGGCTCCTGGGTCCCATCGAACTATGTCGGTTTTGTGTTGCTGAATTCTTGGAACAGCAATGCATCACCACTCTGCGGCCTCGTCGCAGCTATAGCTGCAGTGGCCACAATAACAGCAGCCTCAGAAAGAGCAGCGTATCTCTCGTCGAATGTCTCGATCAGGGTGGTCTTGATAGACCCGAATGTCTCTAGAATCTCATCGCAGATGGAAACAGCCACCTCATCATGTATCATCTGGCGGAGCTCCTCGTCGCTCACATCCCCTCCACTGGTCCCTGGTCTGTGGCATGTTCCTACCATGATGCCTCTCTGAAATACAACATAAGATATCAGTAATTCGGTTGGATGTACACACACTCGATATCCCAATCCTACTTGATCTTTGGTACCCTAAGGATTCTTACTTGGACTGCGTATTAACCCGGTATCTTCAGTATTACGGGCCCAATACTACTGTCCATACCGCATCGGCATTCATCCCAAGTCCTCCTCCCAGAGTCCCAAATCCCAAGTACGCTACTCTATCTAATCATGTGCTACTCACTAGTAGATCTCTCATAAGCTCCTCACTGCTATCTAAACACTCTCAAGCATCTCTAGCAGCAAAACCCCTAGGCTAAGGCATCATATATCAGGCCACTCTAGTCCTAATAAGAATACCTAGTCTACTCTAGCATGCATAACATAATTCATCATATAGCATAACATAACGTATCTTTTAACACTTATTGTAAGGGTATTTTAGGAAATCACCGTTTGGCCCTGGCTGATCGTTCACACGGCTCTCCTCTATTTGTCTCAAAACTCTTTTTACTCTTTTAAAAATTTACTTTATTAATTTTCCTCAAATCCTCAGTTTGAGTTCAGATATGCCCGACGATGCATCCGAATCCCTCAAACCAAGGCTTTGATACCAACTTGTAACACCGTAAAATTTAAGACAGTTTTTCGCATTTTAAAACACATTTCGAATCACATTTATTAACAAAATCTCATTGTATCATATCTTGGTTTCACAAAACATTTCTGAAGATCAAAATACATAAACTTGTATGGGTATTTTGGGGTACTTACTTGAGCTCGGTTGATTGCATGCACCACACCTCTTTTTCTTTCTGAATTCTTTTTGCTTTTTTAAAACCGTTTTCTTTCTCAAAACTCTTTTTTTTTTAATAACAAAACTATCTTTCTATTTTGAAAACTTCTTTACCAATTCCTCAGTTTGAGTTCAGACACACCCGAGAGCATGTCCGAATCCCTCAAACCAAGGCTCTGATACCAACTTGTAACAACCCAAAATTTAAGACCAAAAATTTCTTTTAATAAATCATTACCTAAAGTAAAGTCATCATTCCAAAACATAATATGAGTATAAGTTTTCAAAACACATGTTCATTATTAGAGTAAACATTCCCAGGCTATCTAATCTATGGTGTGTGCCATGCGATCACCCCGAGCTCTTCCCTCCGCTACCGGAAGTACCTGAAACCAAAACTGAAAACCGTAAGCACAAAGCTTAGTGAGTTCCCCACCCTACCACATACCATGCATAACCACATACTGCACATACTGGGCCACGCCCACTATCTTGGGCCTCGCCCCTACCTCGGGCCTTGCCCGCTACAACGGCCCCCACCGCTCCAGGCCCCGCCTGGCTTCGAGCCCTGCTCGGTTACATATCTGTTTTACTTAGGCCTCGCCTGCCACAGGGCCTCGCCCACCAACAAATAATAACACATAAACATTTCACAACACATAACTAACATATGCAACTAGTTATGTCCTAAGACCTCGCCTATCCTGGGCCTTGCCCATGTCCTGCTACTGATGAGTCATGGGACCCCGTCCACGCTCCTAATGGTAGTGAGGTATGGGCCTAGCCCACTCTCACTCCTGTTCTAGTTTGGGCCTCGCCCCTATTCTGCTACTAATGAGATATGGAACCCCATCCACACTCTTCTATTGGTGAGATACGAGACCCCACCCACACTCATCCCCTACCAGGCACATACATGTATCACACAGACAACAAGTATAAACTATCATATAAACAATTCCTTGGGCACCCGCCCGCTATGACTGGACCTCGTCCTGAAAATCATACTAGCATATTGTGCCTTGGGCTAAGCCCCGAGTCTTCTACTCATAACTACATGGGCCGGCATTGTGGCCTTAGACCCATTCACACAAAGGGAAACTCACCTGCACTGGCTGAACTTGCTGATGATCTCACTAGTTGCTGCCCGACAACTCATGGAACTCCTGCTCCCCTTGCTCCCGAACTACCAATATCAATGCAACACTGAGTCTAACTAACCCCCGAAAGACAACCAAGTCAACCCTGGTCCAAGGTCAAAGTCAACCTTCCAGGTCAACCCTACTCGCCGAGTCACCCTACTGACTCGCCGAGTTCTAAATGATCAAATTCCTTCCATTCGCGACCCGACTCGCCGAGTCAGTCCATGACTCGCCGAGTCTACCGATCTCTGAGTCCAAACCTGTCCAACTCACTGAGTCTCCACCCGACTCACTGATTCGAGTATCAACTCGAAGGGTTTGGGGTTTCGCGACCTGACTCGCCGAGTACAAGGCAATCTTCATACGACTCAACGAGTTGTTCATCCCACTCGTCGAGTTTCTCCACAACTTCATGCTACTCGCTGAGTCCACTCAAAGGACTCACCGAGTCCCTTCAGTTCTCCTTACATGCAGAGGACTTTTGAGTCATGCATGGATTCCAAATTGTAGATCTACCCTTCCCAAGCCTATTCCTCACGTAAAGTTGCAAACTTTACGTGTAGAGAAGGAGATCTAGGCAAAATATGCTATAAACTAGGGTTTAAGGCCAAGGGGCTTCAAAATCAATTCAAGGGCTGATACTTTACGGGGTTTTAGATTAAAATAAGCATGGATCTGAGGTGACAACCTCAGATCTGAACCCCTAGCTCGAAAGGTCACTCTAATGCCATGAATGCCCAAATACACACATAGATCTAGGTGCAAATGAGGGGAAATAGCAGCTTGTTACCTCCAAGATGAACACCACTGAAGTAGATCTCGAATCTACACCTCCTCCTTGAAGCAACCTTCTTGATCTTCAAGTTCCTTTCCCCAAAGTTCCTTCCTCCAAGCTAATCCTCTCAATGATGGAAGCTCTCACGAAATCAAGGGTGCACTGGCTCTCTAGGGTGATATGGGGGCTGAGGGAGGGACATAACACCCTTTAAATAGGATACAACTCCCGGGATTCGGGTTTTCCTTGTTCAGACCAGACTCGCCGAGTCACCTTGGCCGACTC